ATTTATTTATTTATTTATTTGGTCTTTTTGAGACAGTGTCTCCCTGTAGTCCCAGCTGTCCTGGAACTCACTATGTAGACCAGGCTGGCTTTGAACTCACAGAGATCCACCTGCCTCTGCCTCCCATGTGCTGGGATTAGAGGCGTGTGCCACCACACCTGGCTATTTTTTTATTTTTTACAAAATATTTTATTTTTACTTTATGTGTATAAGTGTTTTGCTTGCATGTGTGTAAGTGTACCTGTGTTGTGCAATGCCCACTGAGGTCAGAAGAAGGTGTCGGATCCCTTGGAACTGGGGGTGACAGATGGTTATAGCCACTATGTGGGTGCTGAAAACTGAACCCTGGTCCTCTGCAAGAGCAGGCAGTGCTCTTAACTGCTGAGCCACCTTGTTTCAACCCCGTTTATTTATTTTTTAACATTTACTTATTTTTAGTTTATGTATGAATGTTTTACCTGCATATATGTAAGTGTACCTATGAATGGAGTTAGAAATGGTTGTGGGCCACCTGTGGGTGCTAGGACCTGAACCCCAATACTCTTCAAGAGCAGCCAGTGCTCTTAACCACTGAGCTATCTCTCCAGCCCTCATTTTGATCTTTTCTACATTGTTTTTCTTGTTTTTATTATGGTTTTCTTAATATTGATATATAATGGTTTGAAAAGACTGAGTTACAGGTTCCTTATCAGATACATGAATTGTCACATGCTGGTCTGTCACTGTGCAGTCCCTTCCTTGGTAACACCATTATCTCTGTCTCCCATTTAGTGAATCAGGTTTTGGGAAGGGCTCAGCAGAATGGCTCATCTTCCCTTCTAGGGCATCCTCAGGGTTGCTGAGCAGTGAGTCCCCCTTCCAGGCTGGCCTCCTTGCCTGCTTGTCTCAGCCTGGGTGTCCTTGGCTTCCTCTCACATGGAATCTCAGAGCCAAAGCCTCTCCAGGAGGGTGGGATGAACCACAGTCTGGTGGTTTTAGGGTCACAGAGTACACATACTTCTCCCATGATGACTGGCTTCCAAGGGATGAGGAGGAAAGGCCATGCTCAGAAGAGGTACAGCACCACTGTCCCGTCTTCCATTGGCCAAGCGGTAGAGCCTGTGCAGACCCATGGGATGGGGAGGGGATACCACCTCCTTATAGAGAGGGACAGGAGTAAGCAGGACCCAACAGAGATGTTCTTTGAAAATAGAACATGCTACATAGGATTTATGTAATGTACACTGCATGTGTGTGCATCCTATATACTATACAGTCAGTCCTTATCTGTCAACCAACTGCTGATAAGGAATATTTGAGAAAAATTACCTCTATAAGAAACAAGTACAGACTTTTTGTTGTCATTATTCCCTAAATAATACAGTATGACAACTGCACATGGTTTTCCCACTGTTTAAGGTGTCCTAAGTCATCTAGATAGAGTTCAAGTATACAGGAAAAGCTAGGCATGGTGGTTCAGCCCTGTCATCCCAGCACTCGAGAGGCTGAGGCAGGAAGATTCAGAATTGGAGACTAGTCTGGGCTACATAGTGAGACCCTGTCTCAAATGAACAAGCAAACATCCGAAAACTGTACAGGTGCTGGGTGTGGTGTGCACACCTATCATTTCAGAACTTGGGAGATGGAGGTAGGAGGATCAGGAGTTCAAGGTCATCCTCGGCTACATAGTGAACGTGAGAATAAATGGATTACTGAATGAGATCCTGTTTAAAAAATGAGAGAGACAGAGGG